TCTTCCTACTACACTCTTGGGCTTGTTGAGAATTTTTGTGATCCCGCTTATTACTTTTTATTTGTACCTCTTTAAAATGCTTAATGGGTTAGGTGCCAGTGGCTTACACCTGTAATCCTAGCTACTCAGGAGGCTGAGGACTGCAGTTCAAAGCCAGCCCAGGCAAGGAAGTCAGTGAGATTCTTTTTTTTTTTTTTTTGAGTCAGGTCGTGGGGCCTGAACTCTGGGCCTGGGCGCTGTCCCTCAGCTCCTCAGCTCAAGGCTAGCGCTCTACCACTTGAGCCACAGCGCCACTTCCGGCTTTTTTCTTTTTTCTTATGTGGTGCTGAGGAATTGAACCCAGGGCCTCATGCATGCAAGGCAAGCGCTCTACCGCTGAGCCACCTTCCCAGCCCCAGTCCGTGAGATTCTTATCTCCAATAAACCACCGGAAAACACAAGTGGAGTTGTGGCTCAAAAGTTGTGGTAGGGCGCTAGTCGTGAGCACAAACAGCTCAGGGACAGCACCCAGCACTGAGTTCAAGCCCCATGACCAACAAAAACAAGACTGCCATGGATTTTCCTGCCCAGGCCGGCTCCAAACCATGATCCCCAGATCTCCGCCTCCTGGCTAGCTAGGATTACAGGCAAGAGCCTCTGGCACCTGGCTACCTTTGTCTATTGTTGAGACGATGCTGGTAGGTAGCCTGGCCTCAAACTTTCCATTCTTCTGCTTCCATCTCCAAAGTGCAGGGATGAGATGTGCACCACCACTCCTAATCCCCTTAAATGTGAACATTAGCTTTCTTTCTTTCTTTCTTTTTTGGTCAGTCGTGGGGCTTGAACTCTTGGGTTGGGCGCTCTCCCTGCGCTCTTCAGTTCATGGCCAGCACTCTACTGCTTGAGCCACAGCGCCACTTCTGGTTTTCTAGTGGTTTATAGAAGATAAGAGTCTCCCGGACTTTCCTGCCCAGGCTGGCTTTGAACCATGAACCTCAGATCTCAGCCTCCTGAGTAGCTAGGATTACAGGCGTGAGCCACCGGCTTTGTGGGTGAATGTTAATTCCTCTTTCAGCTTCCCCTCCACCTCGGTGAGCCAACCAACCACTTCCCTTTCCAAATACAAGTCTGCACTTCCTGTTTGGCCGGCTGCTGGAGGACAGAGGCAGCTGAGAAACACCACTTCCTTAGACACCGCCGGTCCCAATTACATACCACCTGTCCCAATCGCTCTTCAGGGGCACTAGCCCGAAACTGTTCAAACAAGTTATGTGCTAAAAGTCCCCGCTGACCCCAGGCCATATAAACCCTGCTACAACCAGACTCTGTGCAACCTCTCTGATCAGTCCAGGGCGTTCGCCCTGCAGCGTACCCCAGTAAGCTTCCTTCCTTCACCTTTATCTCCTCCGGCATGTTCTTTCCTCGCCTAAAACCTACGCCAGCATGGACGGCAGGGGTCCTAGGCCACTGAGGCCTCTCCGGCTCACCACCTCGCCTGGGCCTTCTGGTTGTTTCCGTCTGGCCCTGGGTTCCCAGGGATTCTCCTCTGTGTCTGGGAACATTGAAGGCTGTTGGGCTGGCCTGGGCTGTTTGTGTGTAGTTTCCAGGTGGCTGCACCGGAACCAGCTTCTGGGCAGATTGTATTAAATCTCAGCTGACCACAACACACACACACACACACACACACACACACACACACACACACACACACACACCCCGCTAACTTACCTGGAGAGTGTAGCCCGGCACCAGAGGCTCAAGCCTGTAATCCCAGCTACCCAGGAGGCTGAAATCTGAGGACTGTGGCTCGAAGCCAGCCCAGGGAGAAAACTCTGTGAGACTCTTAAATTAACCAGCAAAGATCTATCAGTGGAGCTGTGGATAAATGGTAGAGCACCAGCCTTGAGCAATAGAGCTAAGGGCAGCACCCAGGCCCTCGGTTCAAGCCCCAGGATTGACACCAACAACAAAAAGGGAAAATTGGGCCTTGTTCCAAGAGAAGTCTCCATGGTTTAAGAAGCTCCCAGCCTTGAAGGTGGCTCAGTGGTAGAGTGCTTGCCTTGCATGCCTGAGGCCCAAGGTTCGATTCCTCAGCACCACATAAGCAAAAAGAAAAAAAGCCGGAAGTGGTGCTGTGGCTCAAGTGGTAGAGCGCTAGCCTTGAGCTGAAGAGCTGAGGGACGGCGCCCAGGCCCAGAGTTCAGGCCCCACGACCAGACCCAAGAAAAAATAAAAATAAAAGAGTCTCATGAACTTTCCTGCCTGGGCTGGCTTTGAACTGCAATCCTCTGATCTCAGCCTCCTGAGTAGCTAGGATTACAGGCGTGAGCCACTGGTGCCGGCATTCCAAACTTTTATTGGTTACTTGTGCTGTGAGGGAACTCAGTGGATGAGAGAACAGAGAAGCTACGTTTTGAGAGGTCAAATTGGGAGTTCTGGGAGAGCTGGCGCCCGGGGCGTGGCCCCAGCCCCGCCTCAAAGACACACTGCAGAGCAAAACTTGCACAAAGCTTTTTTTTGGGGCCAGTCCTGGGGTTGAACTCTGGGCCTGGGCTCTATCCCAGAGCTTCTTTGTACCCAAGCTAGTGCTGTACCACTTGAACCACTGTGGCACTTCCGGCTTTTTCTGAGTGATTTATTGGAGATCAATAATCTCACAGACTTTCCTGCCCGAGCTGGCTTTGAACTGAGAGCTCAGATCTCAGCCTCCAGAGTAGCTGGAATTACAGGAGTGGCCACTGGCAAGCGTCCAGTTAGCACAAACCAAGCCTCAACAGAAGCAGACCTATGGGAAATAGCTCAGGTGAATGCAGACCTTTCATTTAGGGAAGGGGGGGTCAGCTAAACTTTCCATCTAGGGAAGGAAGCCTCTAACTTCCTGCCTATGGAGATAACCCCCGAGGCCAGGCCGGGAAGCCAATCCTTTAGGGAAATAATCAAGGCAAGTGTTCTCTGAAGTGGGGCTCCGGGGCGTGGACAGACCTCACCTGCAGGCACTGCAGGCTGTCAGGACCGCCCTGTCCTTCACCTGCAGAACCGTTTCCGGGCCCGTCCTGCCTGGGCCGGCTGACTTTGAACTGAATGGAAAAGGAATAGGTCCCACAGGATCAACAGGCGAGGGTGGTGTACTGAGGAGGGCGAGGGGCGCGGCCTGCCCGCGGGCGTGGGGGGACACGCGGGCTTGCGGGAGGTGGGGGGGCGCGGCCTGCCCGCGGGCGTGCGGGGGGGGGGGAGAAGGGGGGGGCACGGCCTGCCCGCGGGCGTGCGGGGGGCACGGCGGGCGTGGGGGGGCAAGGCCTTCCCGGTGCGGGGGGCACGGCCTGCCCGCGGGCGTGCGGGGGGGGGGGCACGGCCTGCCCGGTGCGGGGGGGGGCACGGCGGGCGTGCGGGGGGGGGGGGCACGGCCTGCCCGGTGCGGGGGGGTCACGGCGGGCGTGCGGGAGGTGCGGGGGGGGGGGCACGGCCTGCCCGCGGGCGTGCGGGAGGTGCGGGGGGGGGGCACGGCCTGCCCGCGGGCGTGCGGGAGGTGCGGGAGGGGGCACGGCGGGCGTGCGGGAGGTGCGGGGGGGGGGGGGGCACGGCCTGCCCGCAGTTTGGTGGCTGTGAGGGCGCCGGCCGCGAGCTGGGTTTTTGTGGGGCAGAGCTGGGTGTGGACGGGTGGGCTCAGGCGGTCATCCTGGGCTGTGGCCGCGTCCGCCCGGGGGTGGGGTCGCGCCCCGCACCGGCCGCCGTTACCGGTGGTTCATGGACGGTCGTTACAGTGGCCAGGCCGACACCTCGCTCCCCCGCTCCCCTCACACCGGCCAGTCGCTCCCTTCCGCCGGGTCCCCGACGCCGGCCAAGACCTGGTTCGCCTTTCCTGGGTTCTCTCCCCTCCCCCCGCGGGCTGGGGGCCTGCTCCCCTCTTCCCCCCCCCCCCCCCCCCCCGGCCTGGGAGGCCCTCCCCGGCCGTGGCCCCTTCCCCTCCCCGCGCCGGGGTCCCGCGCCCGCCCGGGGTCCGGCCCCCCTCCCTCCGGGCCCCCTCCCTCCGGCCCCCCCTCCGGGCCCCCTCCCTCCGGGCCCCCTCCCTCCGGGCCCCCTCCCTCCGGCCCCCCTCCCTCCGGGCCCCCTCCCTCCGGCCCCTCCCTCCGGGCCCCCTCCCTCCGGCCCCCCTCCCTCCGGCCCCCCCTCCGGGCCCCCTCCCTCCGGCCCCCCCTCCGGGCCCCCCCCTCCGGCCCCCCACCCTCCGGCCCCCCCTCCGGGCCCCCTCCCTCCGGGCCCCCTCCCTCCGGGCCCCCTCCCGCTCTCTGGTCCCGCCCGGCGCCCCGCACGGCCGCAGGCAGGCGGTGAATTATTAACCTCGGGGCGGGGCGGGGCGGACCGAGCGGAGAACCCGAGCCTGACGGACAGAGGGAAGGACAGACGGCCAGACGGCGGGGACGCAGCCGGGCCATGGAGGCCGGTGAGGGCCTGGGGTCGTCGGGCTGCGGTCGGGAGCGGCGCAGCCGGGGGCTCAGGGGGGCCCGGGGGGTTCCGAGGGGCTCAGGGGGGCCCGGGGGACGCAGGGGGCCCGGGGGGTTCAGGGGGGCCCGGGGGACTCAGGGGGTTCCGGGGGGCTCAGGGGGCCAGGAGGGCGCAAGGGGGCCCGGAGGTTCAGGGGGTCCCGGGGGGTTCCGGGGGGCCCGGGGGTTCAGGGGGCCCGGGAGGTTCAGGGGGCCCGGGGGGCGCAGGGGGTTCAGGGGGCGCAGGGGGTTCAGGGGGCCCGGGGGTTCAGGGGGCCCGGGAGGTTCAGGGGGCCCGGGGGGCGCAGGGGGTTCAGGGGGGCGCAGGGGGTTCAGGGGGCCCGGGGGTTCAGGGGGCCCGGGAGGTTCAGGGGGCCCGGGGGGCGCAGGGGGTTCAGGGGGCCCGGGGGCGCAGGGGGTCCGGGCGCCCCGTGCAGCCCGCCTGCGCCGCATCCCCGCGGGCTGGTCCCGGGCCGGTGTCCGGTTCCCGGGGCCCCACGAAGCCCCGAGGGGGCGGAGGGGCGGGGTTGGGGCGCGGGGATGTGGGGCGCAACCCGAGAGGGAGCGCGCGGCCCGGCTCCGCTTACGCCGCCCGGCGCGGGTTTCGTCCTGGCCGCGGGGCCCCAGACGCGCCCGGCTCCGGGGCCTCGGCCTCGCTCCGCGTAGCGGGGACCGGGGGCCCGGCCGGGCTGCGGCCTCCACCCGGGGCCCAGCCGACGGGGGGACCTGCCGGGGCCGGGAAGCGCTGACACCGGGGCCCGGGGCCGGGAAGCGGGCGCTGTTGGGGTCCCAGTGAGAGAGGGAGGGGCGCCCGCTGGTTTGCCAGCCCTGGACGAGCGTGGCTGAGCCCCAGCGCCACGTCCAGCCTTTTCCACGTGGCACTGCGGAATCGAACCCAGGGCCGCACACGCGGAGCCGCTTCCCAGCTCCTTGGCTCAAAGCCAGCGTTGTGCACTCGAGTCCGGCCTTCGGGGGCTTCACCGGGGAGGAGTCTCACGGCCGGCGCCGGCCCTGGGCCTTGCCAGCGTCCCCGCGTTTCCCGCGCCCGGCCTCCCGCGGGGACGTGGCCCGGCCTCGGGGCCCCGCGCGCTCCGGCCCGGCCCCGCCGCCTCTCACCCAGCGCCGCCGTCCCCGCCAGGTCCCGAGGCCGGAGCGGCCGCCGGCGCCGCGGCCCCCGACGACCCCGCGCGCCCGCAGCTCCCGCGCCGCCCGCGCCTCCTGGACGAGGACCCCGCGGAGGCCGAGGACGACGGGGCGGCCGCGCCCGCAGCCGCGCCGGGGGACCCCGCGCCCGGCGCCCCCGCCCCGGAGCCCCCCGAGGCCGAGGGCCGGCCGGGGCCCAAGGCGGCGACGGCGGCGGCGGCGGGCGCGGGGCCCCCGCTCGGCTTCGAGGAGCCCCCGCCCTACGCGCCGCCCGACCCCAAGGCCGTGGCCCTGCTGTACCCGCCCTTCCCGCAGGTGCCGGTGCTGCTGCAGCCCGCGCCCGCGCCCGCGCCCGCCGCGCTGTTCCCGCCGCCCGCCGCGCTCTTCCCGCCGCCCGCGGGGCCCGGCGCCGCCGCCTTCTCCTTCCCCGCGGTGAGCGCTGCCAGCGGCCCGTGGTGGGGCCCCGGTTCGCCGGGCTCCGGAGCATGGCTAGGAGCCCAGGCACCTGCCGGAGGAAGGGGGCAGGAGGGGGGCATTTGATTAAGAAAAACCTAGGTACCAATAAAAGTGCCGGCGATGGCGGCGCCCACCCGCGGGTCTAAGGGTTCAGGAGGCTCCAAGGATCCAAGTTCAAAGCCAGCGGGAGAGTCCATGAGACTCTTATCTCTGCATAACCAGCCAAAGGCCAGAAGTGGAGCTGTGGCTCACGTGGTGGGGCACCAGCCCCGAAAGAAAAGTTAGGGGACAGTGCCCAGCCCAAACCCCAAACCCACAGTGTCCGTGGTGGGGCGGGAGGCTGTCCTTCCCCGGGCCCCGCAGCCTGCTGGCTCACCTGCCCGCTCACCTGCCGGCTCACCTGCCCCCCCTCACCTGCCCCCCCCCCCCGTCACCTGCCCGCTCACCTGCCCCCCCCTCACCTGCCCCCCTCACTTGCCCCCCCCCCCCTCACCTGCCCGCTCTGTCCCGCCACCAGTTCGGCAGCCCCGTGCCCCTGCCCGGCCTGCCGGCCCCCGCTGTGGAGCGCGGGCCCCCACCCAAGGACTACATGGCGGAGTCGGTGCTGGTGACCCTGTTCTGCTGCCTGCTCACGGGGCTCATGGCCATGGTGTACTCCCACGAGGTAGGCTGGCCCGCACCTGGCGGCATCCAGCCAGTGGCGTGCCATGGATAGAGGCTCGAACTCTGGCCTTCACACTCTCCCTTGGCCTTTTTGCTCAAAGCTGGTGCTCTACTGTTTGAGCCATGCCCCCATGTCCAGCTTTTTGCTGGTTCATTGGAGATGCAAGTCAGATTTGCCTGCCCAGGCTGGCCTCCCGGTCGCTAGGGTTACAGGCATAATCACCAGTACCAGGCTGTGGCAACATCTGGTAGATGCAGGCCCGCCCGGGCCATCTGTGAGCTAGGACCTCAGGCAGCTGTCAGGAGGTGGGGTCCAGGCTTCTGTGTGCCCCTGAATCCCCTAAATTTTTCTGGGCTCCACCTCTAGCTGTAGGGCCTGAGGTAGGTCTCTGAGCCTTTGTTTCCCTATCTGCCAAGTGGGTGTGCTATGGGGGTGGCTGGGGGCTGCTGAGCGGCTTGGTCAGTGCCAGTGTGACCCTCACCAGCCTCTTTCCCCCTGAGCTGTAGACCAACCTTGTCTGCTGTCCGTCTCCTGCAGACGCGTGCAGCCCTGGGCAGGGGGGACCTGGCCCAGGCCGAGGACGCATCTCGGAAGGCTCGCTCGCTCGTGCTCTTCAGCCTGCTCTTTGGGACATTTGTGTTCACCAGCTGGGTCATCTATGTGGCGGTGGCCCTCTTCCCCTGAGGAGACCAGGAACCAGGCCAAGTCCTTTCCCTGGCTCTGGTCTCTGCCTGTGGGCAGCCGCGGGGCCAGAGGAGATCCGTGTGGCGCCCCTGTCCACGGCTGGCCCACGGAGGCTCAGGTAGTGGCCTCAACGATCCTGCGACGGGTGACCAGCGAGTCCCTTCTCCCGGAGGACCAGCGTCTGACTGTCTTCAGAACCATCTGGAAGGACACTGCCCTGTCCAGCTCAGCCAGGGGATTGCGCTGCCGGGCATTGTGGAGAGGGGCTGCCAGTGACCCCGCTGCAGCTCCTGGCTGGTTGGTCCAGGCAGGGGATTGGGATCTCACACCAACTACATGTCCAGTGGGCTGGGCTGCAAGGTGGACAGTGATACATTCCAGCAGCGGCTCCCTGGCCTGGCCTCCCTTGCCCGGCCTCGCTTGCTGGGCCTCCCTGGCCTGCACACAAGCCAGGCCATGGAGGCTGCTCCCGTTCCCCCCAGTCTCTGCTGGAAACTTCCCTCTCCCACTGCCTCTGCTTGTCACCATCTCTCTCCAACTCTTCCTTTATTTTCCAAAGATGGAGGATCCCCTGGCCCCCCGTCTGGAGAAGGCGCCCAGAGGGGGAGCCCCCAGCGCCTCCCCACGCTGAGAGACAGGAGCAGGGGAGGCAGCTGCCATCTCCTGGGCCAGGGAAGGAGGAGCCCGGACACAGCCCCGGTGATGGATGGTCACAGAGCGGGAGGAGGAAATCAGGTCTCCAGGGATCAGTGGTTGATGGACTCCAGTCCACAAGCTCTTCGCACTGAACTGAACTGAATCTGAATGGGAAGGTCCTCCAGACCAAAGTGCTGGCAGCCACTTGGCAGATCTCCATAAAGTGCAGACTGACACCTCCATCCGGAAGTTTGGAGTTATCAGACGCTCCCTGGTGATGTAATGAGGACACTGCCCAGGGAAGTGGGAGGTAAGAACTTAAGTCACTGAAGGGCACAGGCTCCGCCCTGGCCGGGCTGTTCTTGGTATGTGTGGGTGTGGGGAGGGTATTTGCAGCTGTTTAAAAAGTCTGCAGTGTGGAAACAGAAGAGACAAACGATCCCACGGCTGTCTAGTAGTCCTTTAAGAATAGAATAAGAGAAACTAGTCAAGTGGCTGGATATAAAATAAATACACAAAAGTTGGTAGTAATCATAGTTAAAGGTAGGAAAAAAACCTAAATTCCACTCATAAATATTGACAATACATTCAATTAGAAAAAGATCTGGATGCAAAGGAAGATTATTACTGTTATTATTTAAAAATTATCACAGAGGGCCAGGGATGTGGCTTAGTGGTAGAGTGCTTGCCTTGATGAAGCCCTGGGTTCAATTTCTCAGCCCCACATACACAGAAAAAGCTGGAAGTGGTGCTGTGGCTCAAGTGGTAGAGCACTAGAATTGAGCGAAAGAAGCTCAGGGACAGTGCCTGGGCCCTGAGTTCAAGCCCCAGGACTGGCCAGAGAAAAACAAAAACAAAAAAAATAACAATAAAAGTTATCACAGAGCCAGGCGTCGGAGGCTCATACCTCTAATCCTAGCTACTCAGAGGCTGAGACCTGACGATCACCGTTTGAAGCCAGTCCAGGTGGGAAAAGTGAGACTCTTATCTCCAATTAACCACTTAAATAAGTAAGTAAAGCTGGAAGTGGAGCTGTGGCTCAAGTGTTACAGTGTTAGCCTTGAGTGGAAAAGCTAGAGTGTCTAGGCCTGAGGTTGACCCCCATTACACACACACACACACACACACACACACGCACGCACGCACGCACGCACGCACGCACGCACGCCAGGAGATGGGGCGCAGGCCTGCAGCATCAAGCTACAGAGGTTGAGGCAGGAGGATTGCTTGAGCCGAGCAGTTGGGTGGAGGCCATCCTGGACAACTCCATGAGACCTAGTCTCAAATGGAAACACACCACAGCAGAGCAAAGTGACCCACGGTGGAGCTGCTGGGTGTGTCCACGTCTCGAAGTAACTTCCTCCATCACGGGTTTGGGGTTCCACCAGCCGCAGACCCGTGTCACCCCTGGGGTTTGTCTCTTAAGTTTGGGGTCTTCTGATGAGTGCCTTTCCCTATTTCGGGAAGGCCTTAATCTGCACTGCCCTGCTGGCCCTGATCACAGGATCATCAGCAATCCACGCTCTTCTAATGATGTGCTCTTCAATGTTTTTGTTGTTGTTGTTGGTCATGGGGCCTGAACTCAGGCCTGGGCGCTGTCCCTCAGCTCTTCAGCTCAAGGCTAGCGCTCTACCACTGAGCCACCTTCCCAGCCCCAACATTTATGAGTTCTAGGAGCTTTGCGATAGTTATTTCTTCCACACTGGGTGATGTGTACATTTCTCTTGTTTTGCATAGCATCAGCTGTCCCCTCTTTCCCATTTGTCCCCTCCCTCCCACCGCTGCCATTGAGTTGCTTAGTTCCTTTTGGTCAATGTCCAGTGCAGCTGATGGGTCCCGCTGTTGTATGTTTTTCCCTGATTCCCTCTAGTTCTGTGTTGTCTTCCTGGTTCCCCTCTGGTGTACACCATACATGTGATCAGCAGCATGGGGTTATTTAGTAGTGATTCAACCAGATGAGTGGAAGTCCTTTGTTTCTTAAGTTCTTTTAATTTTGTCCTATCACCTAACATTTTGGATTTAACATCCACTTATCAGGGAGACCATGTACCATTTATCTCTTTGCTCTTGGCTTACCTCGCTCAACATGATTTCTTCTAGCTCCATCCATTTCCCTGAAAATGCCATTATTTTGTCATTTCTAATGGCTGCATAATATTCCATTGTGTGTAGATACCACAATTTTTGGATCCATTCATCTGTGGTGGGGCCTCTGGGTTGTTTCCATAGCCTGGCTATTGTGAACAGTGCTGCAGTAAACATGGAGGTGCACGTGTCCTTGTATCCTGGTTCCTGTTGTTCAGGATAGATGCCTAGGAGTGGTATGGCTGGGCCATAGGGGAGGTCAATAGTTAGCTTTCTGAGGACCCTCCAGACTGCTTTCCAAAGTGGCTGTATAAGTGTACGTTCCCATCAGCAGTGTAATAGGGTTCCTCTTTCTCTGCATCCCCTCCAGCATTTGTCGTTGGCTGACTTTAGGATGTGGGCCATTCTGACTGGGGTAAGGTAGTATTCTCAGGGTTGTCTTTATTTGCATTTCCTTCACAACCAGGGATGGTGAACATTTCCTCATGTGTTTCTTTGCCATTTTTATCTCTTCTTCTGAGAAGTCTCTCTTTAGTTCCCTTGCCCATTTGGTAATTGGTTTGTTGGGTTTGGGAGGGATTCGTTTCTTGAGTTTACTGCATATACTGGATATACTGTCTGATATACTGCTGGTAAATATTTTTTTCCCAATTAGTTGGTTGTCTTTCTAGCTTAGTTGCGATAGATTTAGCTGTGCAGAAGCTTTTTATTTTAAGGTAGTCCCATTTGTCGAGTCTCTCTCCAATTTGTTGTGACCCTGGTACTCTGTTCAGGAAGTTCCTTCCTGTGCCTATTAGTTCAAGTGTCTTTCCTACTCTGTCCTGCAGTAGTTTCAGAGATTCAGGTTTAATGTTAAGGTCTTTAATCCATTTTGAGTTGATGTTGGTGCATGGTGATAGGCTGGGGTCCACTTTTAGTTTTCTGCATGTGGCCGCCCAGTTTTCCCAGCACCAGTGGTTGAAGAGGCTGTGCATATCTTTGCCTCCTTTGTCAAATATCAGCTGACTGTAGGTGTGTGGATTTATTTCTGTATCTTCTATTCCATTGGTCTTCCAGTCTGTTTTTGCACCAGTACCATGCTGTTTTTGTTATTATGGCTCTATAGTAGAGTTTGAGGTTCGGCATGGATATCCCTCCCACGTATTTATTCCCTGGAATTGTTTTGGCTATTCTAGGTCTTTTGTTGTTCCATATGAATTTTTGGACTGTTCCTCTTTTCTTTCTTTCAGTCTGGTAGTACTGGGGTTTGAACTTAGGGCTTTTTAGCATACGCGGTGGGTACCTTACCACCTGGCCACACACCTGCCTAGGGTATAAAATTTTAAAACTGCCCTAGCTAGGCACGGCGGCTCACGCCTGTGATCCTAGGTACTTGGGAGGCTGGGATCTGAGGATCATGGTTGGAAGCCAGCCCAAGGCAGATAAATCCATGGGACTCTTAATTCTAATTAAATAGTGGAAAAGCCAAAAGTGGAGGTGTGACTCAAGTGGTAGAGTACCAGCCTTGAGTGAGAAAACTAGACTTGACTCCTTGTCCTTCAACTGGAGGATTTAGCTTCCTTGTGGCTTAGGGGAGGTTACATCACCATCTCCTCTGGTGGCCTTTCTGCCTTTTTTTGTGTGTGTGGCTTGAACTCTGGGCCTGGGCACTGTCCCTCAGCTCTTCAGCTCAAGGCGAGCGCTCTACCACTTGAGCCACAGCACCACTTCCAGCTTTTTCTGTGTATGTGGACCTCATGCATGCAAGGCAAGCACTCTACCACTGAGCCACCTTCCCAGCCCTCTGCCTTTTTTCTGTTTGTTTTGCTGATTCTGGGGTTTGAACTCAGGGCCTGGATGCTGTCCCTGAACTTCTTTTGCTCCAGGCTGGTGTACTACCACTTGAGCTGTACCTTTATTTCTGGCTTTTGGTGGTAAATGGAGGTGAGTCGTCAGGACGTTCTTGCTGGGCTGGCTTGGAACCTGGCTCCAGCTTCTCATGCCTTCTTGACTCCTGACTCTAGGGCTCGGTGCTTCCTGGTCAGGGACCAGAGGGAAGATGACACTGGAAAGGGATGGAACGGGGACCTGCAGGGGGGAGAATAACAAGAGATGCAGGGGTGAGTAGAAAGGGTACACTGTGGAAACGTGGAAATGTCACAGTGACCCCCCCACCCCCAATGGATGGATGCTAACAAGCAAAAAGAGGGAAAACAAAGCTTAAGCGGAGAGCAGCAATGGCGGTCTAAGAGTGCTGGGGCAGGGCAGGGCAGTGGCTGCCCACAAGTTTTCTATGAAAACCTTAGCAGCTCGGGGCTGGGAAGGTGGCTCAGTGGTAAAGCATTTGCCTTGTATGCATGAGGCCCTGGGTTTGATTCTCAACACCACATAAGCCAAAAGAAAAAAAAGCCGGAAGTGGTGCTGTGGCTCAAGTGGTAGAGCGCTAGCCTTGAGCTGAAGAGCTGAGGGACAGCGCCCAGGCCCAGTTCAGGCCCCACGACCAGACCCAAAACAAAGAAAACCTTAGCAGTCTCTTCCTAGGGTAGATTCAGAACCAGGCTGGTTCACGGAGCTGGGCTGTGGAGACATCCTTTGAATTGCAGGTGACATGGCCAGCAGGCCCCAGCCCCCGCCCTCTCCCCTCCCCCCTGCCCCAGTGAGGGCCAGTCCGGTCCAGTGAGGGCAGGGCCAGGCTATCCCCCAGCGAGGGGCCGGGCCAAGGGCTGCTCCGACTGGAGCCACAGGACCTGGGTGCCTTGGAAGAGGCAGAACACCTTACACACAGCGCTAATACAATGTTGGGGCAAGGAGAAAGTTCCAGAAGGATCCAGAGCCCCTTTCCCTTGCAGAGTCCTTCTGGTCTCTCTGCTGCTACCTCAGGTGTTCTTTGTAAAGATCTGCAGAGCAGCAGGTAATGGAGGGGGCCACGCGTGAGCAGTGAACTGAAATCGCCGCCATTTTGGAACTCTTAAAAAGTTTTACTAGGTGTGTGTGTGTGTGTATACATGTGTACCAGAGCTTGGGCACTGTTTCTTGGAATTTTGGCTCGAGGCTGGTGCTTTACCATTTGAGCCACAGCTCTGCTTCCAGCTTTGTATGTGTGTGTGAGTTGTGAGGCTTGAACTCGCTGTCCCTGAACTCTTGTGCTCAAGGCTAATGCACAGCCACTGAGCCAAAGTGCCACATCTGGTTTTCTGGTGGTTAATAGGCAGTAAGAGTCTCATGGACTTTCCTGCCCACTGGCTTTGAACCGTGATCCACGGATCTCAGCCTCCTGAGTAGCTAGGACTACACGTGTGAGTTTTTTTTTGCTGGTTAATTAGTTTGTTTTACAAGGTTTCCTGCCTGGGTTGGCCTTGACCCAAGGTCTTCTAGTTCTCTGCCTGAGAAGCCAGGATGGCAGGTGAGGGCCAAGTCTGGCCCTGGAACACAGTAAGCAGCAGCGGTCTCGTCTATGTATGGCAGCTTCAGATCTCTGCATCCAGTTCTCAGAGTTGTCTGTGTTTTCAGGTCCCACTATTCATCTCTGCATGTGTGTGCCTGCCTCTTTTCTTTTCCTGTACCTGACACATGCCTGGGATCCCGGAATGATGTTTGGCTTTGGTTGGTGCTACATGGGTTCTGGCCAGGTGCTACGTGGCTCTTCCCCCAACTGCAGGGGTCAGGGGCACCCCAAGCTGTGAAGGGCAGGTGGTGACATCTGAGATCCCTGTCCACCCGCCGCATTCTAGAATCCGATTTCAAGCTGCCATTTTGGAGGAATCTTTCATCTGGAATTGCTGGTGGCCTTCCATTATGTGGCCCTAAATGCCAGGCTGACTGCAGGCCCGCCCTGCAGGCCCTGGGGCAGGAGCTCGGCCTCTTTCTCATGATTCCAGGCACACAAACGACATCACTCACCGTGAGGGCCCTCTTAGACTTTTTTTTTTGTCGGTCGTGGGGCTTGAACTCTGGGCCTGGGCGCTGTCCTTCAACTCTTCAGATTATTGGAGATAAACATCTCATGACTTTCCTGCCTGGGCTGGCTTTGAACTCTGATCCTCAGATCTCAGCCTCCTTAGTAGCTAAGATTACAGGCATGAGCCACCATGGCCCGGGGTTGGGGTTTCTTTTGAATAATTTAAAATGTATGTTTATTGGAGAGACCTGACATCTTTCAGAAAGCTGATAGGCCATTCCATGTCACGTGTCTCAAATTGGGCTCTTGTTTATAGTTCAAAATTGTGCTTTCCAGCTGGGAATGTGGCTTAGTGGTGTAGTGCTCACCTAGCATGCATGCATGAAGGCCTGGGTTCCATTCCTCAGTACCACATACACAGGAAAAGCCAGAAGTAGCACTGTGGCTCAAATGGTAGAGTGCTAGCCTTGAACACAGAGAGGCTCAGGGACAGTGTTTAGGCCCTGAGTTCAAGTCCCAGGAATGCCTGCTGCCCCCCCCCCCAAAAAAAAAAAAAAAGATTGTGCTTTCCCTGTGAAGCTCCCACATCATTTGCTGGGCAAACACACGGCTCAGAATTCAAGTCACACAATGAAAAATGGGTGGCATTTGAAGTGGGAGCTGTGTGCAGCTCCTGCACAGATGAAATCAACGTTAGGTGACTTACAGCGCTTAGTGCATCAGCACTCCATGCAAAGCTGGGCACTGCTGGCTTGGGTCTGCAATCCCACCCACTTGGGCAGGCTTGGGCAGAAAAGTGCATGATGATTCCCTTCTCACAAACCCATAGCAGGGGCATGTGCTGGGGGAGGAGGGGGGAAGGGAGACGGGGGGGGGGGGTGGGGAGGGGAGGACGGAGGGGGGGGGGCGTCTGTGACCAGGAGCAGCAAGGGGCCAAGCAGCCAGGGCATCCACAGTCCCTGAGACTCCATTTCCATAAAGGGCCGCTGGACGCCGCATGGCATGCCTGTAATCCCAGCAACAAGGAGAAGCCTCAAGTAGACAGCTCAGGCTTGTGCCTGGGTGGGAAGTGAGACCCTCTCCTAAAAATAACCAGTGCAAAACAGGGCTGGAGGCAAGGCTCTAGCAAGTGCGAGGCCCTGGGTTCAAGCCCATGTAAAAAAGAAAAAAAAAGCTATGCAAATGGTCATCCTGCACTGTGTAGGGAGTGCTCAGTACAGAGGTGGTACTTTCCTGGGAATCCTGTGACCCGCAGCTGGTTGGGTGGCAGGGCATGGAGGCCACATTGTCTGTGGCTATCTTGCCCTGGTGTTGCTGTGAGGTGAGGTGCAGGTGGTGGACATAGGAACCGGCAGGCGGGTCTCCAGGCCCTTACTTTTCCCTCCAGGGTTGCCTGGAGGAGGCAGGTGCTCTACTGCTGAGCCATGCCTCCTGCCCCTTGGGTAGGGTCTGGTTCCCTGCTCTGGCTATGCCTGGATGGAGATCTATTTTAGGTTTCCTGTGGTAGAACCATGCATCCAGGCTGCCATTGAGAAGGGTTCTTGTGAACCATGAACCTCCCAATCCCAGCCTTCCACACAGCAGGGATTACAGGCGTGAGCCGTCGGGGCCTGGCTGGCTCCTTGCATTTTTAAAAGAGCCAGACTCAGCCTGGACCATGGATTTCTTGGTGCTGTGTCTGGAGGCTGGTTTCAGAGCTGGAGTGTTCTCGCAGGAGGCTGCCTTGGCTGGTGCCGTGCCTGTCTAGCTACATTTGTCATCCACACGCTGGGACAACAATCCTCATTTTTGCGGGAGAGTTGGAGTGGAATGGAAGTACTGCATTGTGTCGCTCCACCTGTCTAGGCCAGAAGGCTGGGATGCGTTTCCAGGTTTCCCTCCCTTCCTCCCTTGTACTAGTACAGGGACTGGAACTCAGGGCCTGAGTGCTGTTCCTTGGCTTTTTCACTCAAGGCTGAGCCACAGCTTCACTTCTGGAGTTTTTGTATGTTAGCTGGAAATGAGTCTCAAGGACTTTACTGCCCGGGCTGGCTCTGAACTGTGATCCTCATATCTCAGCCTCCTGAGTAGCTGGTATTACAGGTGTGAGCCACTGGCCCCTGGCTCAGGGGTCACTTCTTTAATGTCCAGTCTCGTGACTGTGGCCCCTGCCCTGGTGGTGGCAGGTATGTCAGCTGGGAAGGTTGGATGGGATAAAGCAGTCTGCAGGCCGCTGGGCACCCAGGAGACACCTCTGAATCTGGGAACAGGGGAGGCCTCTCCCCCAAGTCCTCTGGGCGCCCCACCAAGGGTAGGACCCTGTGCAGCAGATAGCCATGTGCCTCCCTGGAACCCAGGACTCCAGTGGCCAGGCTGCCCTGCGTGGCTCTCACACAGCGCGCTGGCTGGGACAATGAACAGAGTGGTGGCCAGCGAATGCTGGGACCCCTCCACCCGTGGGAGGTGCTGAGCAGCTGTGAGACCTGCCACGTCCAGCCATGGCCACTTGGTGTCCGGACCCAGATCATCAAGCCTGAGGCCCAAACAGGGCAGGCCCCAGGTGCTGGAGCAGCCAAGGGTGCCTCTCAGATTATTGGCTGAGCATGCAGATTCCTGGGGCCCAGGAGGGGCCCCCTGGGAACCCGGGCACTTCGTCCGCTGCCATGACTGCTTCCCACTGACCCCAAGGCCCTCAGTCACCAAGCACAGGCCTGCAGCCCCGCACCTGGCCTGCCATCCGAGGGGCGCAGGGGCCAGGCTGGACTCAGGACACCACTGGCAGTGAGGGAGATGGGGTGCAAGCCCTGTGAGGAGTCTCTTTCTGGGGCCCAGGGTGCCCACTGATAAGGCCAGGGAGCCCGAGGCACACCCACGAGGCAGCTGGGGCAGGGACACAGCCAGCTGCCAACCTGTGCGCGAGACTTCCTGGGGACAGGGCCCTGCCGGTGCCACTGCCAACAGCTGGCGCAGGTGGGGAAGGACTCGAACCTGGGGCTTGGTAGGGGCCTTACTGTGTGCCTGGGCCAGGGCGTGGCTTGGGATGGCTCGTGGGTTAGGCCTGGTCACCCCGAGGCTGTCGCTTTCAGGTCCTGGACAGCGGCAGTGGACTCGCTGCTTCAGGGGAGTGGGGAGGGCGTGGACCGTTATGCTCTGAACACCCCGGGCAGGACCCGCAGGAAGGTTTGGGAAGGGGTGGGTGCTGGTGACGCCCACGCCACACAGCTACGTCAGAACAGCAGCTGCCGGCGTGGGGACCCCCGCCCCCGCCGTCGCGCGAGGGGTAGGCTGGAGGCACACATGGCTTTGGATGGCTCCGGCCTGTTTATTTTCCTTTCATATAAAAGTTACAGGTCTGCAGCGTCGGCAGGAAGGGGCTGCTGTCGGGCAGGTTAGCGGGGAGTTTGCATCACGCCATGCCACGCGGGGAGGCTGTGGGGCCGCCGGGGTGGGGGGCCCATCTCAGACCAGGGTTCTGGTCAGACGCAGCCTGTCCCCACCTGCCGGGGCTCCACCGGCCCTGCTGTGAGGACGGGCCTCTGCGGGATGCCCGCCGTCCAGCCCCGTCCCACAGCCCCCGCGGGGCAGAAGAGCCGCAGCGCGGCCGGGGCAGGAGAGCAGGGGAGCCATTGGCCAATAAGTTACACACACACACTGAGCCTCGTGTCCTCCGTGGGCAGTTCCAGGCATGGCCCCAGGGCTCCCTGGCACCGGGAGGGCTGGGCAGTCTGAGGTGGGCACCAGGTCTGCTGGGAATCACGAAGGGAACCCCGCCCTGTCCTCTGCCCAGTCCCTGGACAGGCCCACCTGGGCTGCAGGGAGCCGCCCAGGGCTGGGGGAGGGGCCTCACCTGGAGCCCGCTGCAGCCCCCCAGAGCTGGGCAGAGGATGGGAGGCAGGGAGCAAGGACTGAAATGAAAGGACTTCAAACCACCCCACGCACAACACTGCTCAGAACCCAACACCACACACACACACGCCTTAAATAACCAAGTGACAGCTGCTGCCCACTGAGGCACAGCGCGCGCAGCCTCTATTTACAGGACACAGAAACACAGAGGAGGAGAAAACAGCTGCTTAGAAATCCCCAAGGAGCGAGCGGGCGGGGCTCCGCGGGGCAGGCCGCGCGCAGCGTGTAACTGCTCCACGCGCAGGCGCAGCCTCTGCCTCCCCTGTGCTGTGCGCTGGGCTGAGGGCGCCCGAGCTGTGCCCGCCCCGCCCCACCCCCGGGGCTGGAGGTCCACACACTGGGTCCCAGCCCGCGGTGCCCACCACCCAGGGAGGTCCTGGGCACCTCCGCCTCGATCCCCGCACACCGCCTGGGATCGGCACCCTTGGCAGAGCACCTGGCTGAGAGGTGCTGCCTGCACCCCCACACTCCACACTCAGGGACCCCACAGCCCCAGTCCACAGCTGGGAGGAGGGGTTAGGAACTTTTGGCTCCTGGGGGAGTGCCAGCTAGGAGCAGCCGTGGGGCCGGGAGGGCATCAGGTGGCGGTTAAGGCACAGGGCAGGTGCGGGGTGGGGGTGTGGGCTGTGGCCCTCCCCAGGGTGGCGAAGCACCCCCACTTCTGGATCTGCTCTCCATTTCTCAGCCTGGCCCAACCCGGCACCCCCTTTCCTTTGCCAACACCTCAGCTCCAGTGCAAGGAGGTGTGGGCGGGGCCTGGGGCCCCGAGTGCAGACAGGGCAGCAGCCTGGCTAGGTGGGGCAGGACAAGGTGCCAGGACGGGGTACTGTGATGGGTACTAGGACTGAGCGTCACCTGCCACCCCCCCCAGGGCACCCCATGGCTGAGGTGCCCGCTGTCTCTCTGGCCCTCTGCCTTCTGTGCCCAGTTGTCTCCCTGGCCCTTCTCAGCCTCCTATGCTGGGCCGATCCCGTCTGGGTGCCCTGAGTGTCTGGCCTCTGCTCCTCTGCTCCTCCGAAGGCTGGGGAGCCTGCCCCTAGGGAGGGCCGGGGTCTGCCCTCTCTGCTGGCTGACGAGGTCCTGCCCCACCTGGGCCTGGGGTACAGGAGGGCGCGCGAGGCGGGCAGAAAACAACCAGGCCAGGGGACGGTGGTTCACCAGTTAGTCCAGGCCTGCCTGTTGGCTGGCCGTGGGCCCAGGGGCTGGGCCAAAGCTGCCGCGGGCTCTGCCTGAGGCCCGTGTTGGGCCGGGCCAGAGCTGGCCACCTCGGCCGGCCTGGCTGCTCCAAGTCCGCTCCTGGCGCCCAGCCCGGCTCCTAGGTCTTCTCCTCTCGGTCCGTTTTCCTCCTCGTGATGTTCCTGGGCTTAATCTTCAGTGAGAGTTCCCACAGGGCCTCCTCGGCCAGGTGATCGCTGAAGTCATTGAAGAAGTTGATGATGTCATCGTTTCTGCGAATGTCGTAATGCCTGGTGGGAGAGGGGCTGATGAGCACAGGGCGGGCGAGCAGCTGGGTGCCATGGCCTCTCTGGGGCACGTGTGGCACACTGCCACTCACGCTGAGGGGGGCCTGGCGTTCGGCTCTGCTCTCCTGGCCCCCAGCAGTAGGGTGTCCCTGGGGGCCACAGTGAAGCCAGTCAGGCTGCAGGCAGGCTAGGAGGGCAGCCCTTCCTGCACACATGGGGACCAGGCCTGGGTAGGTGGGGTGCGGGGCCTCCCTGTAGCGCCTGCCCAGCCCCGCGGCGCCGCACTCACGCCTGCTGGAAGCACCGCATGCTGTCCAGGATGTTGAACTGCTGCCACCGCTTGGAGAAGTTGACCTTCCCATCGATGAAGTCAGGGTTCCCCAGGTGAACAAAGGTCAGGTCCTGGAGGATCAGACCCCTGGGGGACGGAGACGGGGAGGGGCTGTGACCACTCAGGGACCTACCCCAGTCCGGAGGCGGCGGTTCATGGTGAGCTGGCTTGAGGCCTGTGCCAGCCAGCTCTTGACAGTAATGCTGACCCATGCCAGCCCCACAGCCGCCCCCAGCAGCTCAGGAAACCTCCCCAGCATGAACTCCATGGTATCAGCTCTGTGGCCTGACCGCTGTGGGTCCTCCAAGCCTGCTCAGGTGCTGGAAGGTCCAAGAGTGCCACCTGCCCAGGCCGCGGAGACCCACAGGGAGCTGACCCCCGCAGAGGGTGGGCACAGCTGTGCGCCTCCAGTGAGAGACAGTTACATCAAAAGTAAGGTAAAGGGCTGGGAAGGTGGCTCAGGGGTAGAGCGCTTGCCTTGCATGCATGAGGCCCTGGGTTCGATTCCTCAGCACCCCATACAAAGAAAAAGCCGGAAGTGGTGCTGTGGCTTAAGTGGTAGAGCGCTAGCCTTGAGTTGAAGAGCTGAGGGACAGCACCTAGGCCCAGAGTTCATGCCCACATGACCGGCAAAAACCACCACCAACAAAAAAATAATGCGAATCTCATGGCGGGGGTAGGGAGAACCACAGCCGGAGGAGGAAAGGCAGGAGCTCAGCCGGAGTGTCCGGGCTGTACCCTGGGGCTGGGGCCTCCTAGGTGACGTTCTCAGGCAGCTCTATGCACAGCCCGGCACGTGAGGGAACAGAGGCTGTGTGCATGGGAGTGGGCAGAGCTGGGGTCTTCTGTTATGGCTGTGACTCGGGACCTGCAGGTTTTACTTTGGAAGTTCATGGCAAAGCTGGACACAGTGGCTCATGTCTGTAGTCTCAGCTACTCAGGAGGCAGAGACTGGTAGGATCATGGTGCCAGGCCAGCTTGGGCAAAAACAGGTTTATCATTTCTTTTTTTTTTTTTTTTGGTTGGTCGTAGGGCTTGAACTCTGAGTCTGGGCGCTGCCCCTCAGCTCTTCAGCTCAAGGCGAGTGCTCTACCACTTGAGCCACAGCACCACTTCCTGGGCAAAAACTTAGTGAGATGATATCTCAACAAACAAGCTGGGCTGGGCGACTGTGACCCCTGACACACGGGAGTAACCAGGAAGATTGTGTCTCGGGTTAGCTGGAGACTAAAACGTGAATCCCTACTTGAAAATAAAGCAAAAAGGACTGGGGCCTCTGGCTCAAGCGGTAGAGCACCTGCCTAACAAGCATAAAGCTGAGTGTAAACCTCAGTACTGCTCACAACAAAAAATGGTATGGCAGAACCACAGGTCCTGGCTATGGGATCCAGTCTGCGGACCCTGCAGAGGAGCAGGAGGGAGGAGGAGGAGGGGTAGGGGGAGGCGGCACTCACAGGTAAGGGATGCATGGGGGCTCCACCTCCGAGAGTGCGGCCCGGTAGGCCCGGAAGGAGGACGAGCTGTCGATCAGGGTGCAGTACTCAGCCAGGCCCTGCGGGACAGAGGTAGGCCAGTGAGTGCCAAGGCCATGTCTGGCTCCAATACAAAAACCAGCCCGACTGGACCCGAGTGGGTCCCTGGCGCGGAACCCACTGGAACCCGGCGTCTGGAGGTCAGAGGCGGGAAGGTGGTGCTGGCAGCCCGGTGCCAGGGCCCATGGTCTCGGGCTGGCTTGGCCTCCTCACTCACCTCTGAGGTCTGCCTCTGCCACTCCAGTCTGCGGATGGGCGCCGAGTCCAGCGCGGAGAGGATGGCTAGGTAGGAGTTGAAGTTGTTCAGCTTCCGCAGGTGCTGCAGCGAGAGGGGGTGGCGCCATGAGGGCAGGTGGGGGACCGGGGCCCAGCCTTCCCAGGAAGGGCCAGGGGGCTGGTCGCTCACCTTCATGATCTTGATGAACTTCAGGAGCAGTCGCTCCCGGTCCTGGGCCTTCTCCTGCAGCATGATAATGGAGCGGACCCTGTGGAGCCAGGGGCCGAGAAGCAGCAGCTGATGCCCGTGCCCTGCAGGCTTCCAGCCACAGGGGCCGCATGGCCCTAAGCCCTCTGATGCCAGGGCAGGCTGGCCGGCACAGCTGGCCTCGGCTGCTCCAGGGGACACCTAACGGTGTCCTACGCATGCTTCCTTGTATTGGCCTCCCACACGACAGCAGTCATGACAGGGAACCTTCCAGAATCTTGGCAGCAACCAAAGCCAAACCTGGCTCTAGCCTGGGTAGCCTGGCAGTACCCTCCCCCACCTTCTGTGGTTCTTGGGGCATGCTTGCCTCAGAGAGGCCACACTGTCACTTCATCCTGTGAAGGACGCCTGTGCCAGGGACATCTCCAGGACCACAGTGCGCTGTGGTCTGCTTGGAAACCAGCACACCCAGGGCTGAGGGCGCTCCTCCCGTGCGAGGAGTGGGGGGCGCCAGCGCCATGCCTGTCAGCAGCCCGAGCCCGCGCCACACCAGACGCTGTCAGGTGCAGCAGCTACGCGGCTAATCCCAGCTCCTCAGTAGATGAAGGAGATCAAGACCAGCCAGGCCAAAAGTGAGACCCCATCTCAATCATCGGGCACAGTGGTGTGAGCCCAGCTACCTGGGCAGGAGGATTGTGGTCCCAGCACAGCAGGGGCAAAAAGCAAGACTTTGAAAAATAACCAAAGCCCAAAGGGCTCACGTGGTAGCGCATCTGCCCAGCCAATGCCAATACCAGAACAAAACAAAACAAACCACCACCAACCAAACCCAGAAAGGGCTGGCTATGTGGTTTAAGTGGCAGAGTACTCTTGGCCCTGGGTTCAATCCTCAGCATCCCAAGAAACCAGACCAAGTCAACCAACCAACCAACAAGCCACCAGACATGGGCACGGTGGCCACGGTAGCCGGGCAGGGTGGGGCCTGGCCCCTCTGCCCAGCTATGAGCGGCCTTCGTGGGGTGCAGCGCTTTGGGTCAAGTCTTGAAGATACAAGACTTGCAAGTTATAAGTTTTAAGGACAAAGGAAAGTATTAATAGCACCGACTCCTTTGCGAGTAGCCTGTGTTGGGGATGGACGCCTGGACAGGAGCCTGGCATGGCCAGCACAGGATGGCAGACGTGAGGCGTCCTCCCCGCCACTGGTGACCACAGACATCACTAGTCAATCCCCATACTCATCTCAGCAGAATCTCTGGCACTGCCCTAGCTGGGGCTGCAAGTAGCCAGCACACCCCTGTCCGTCCCCGCTGCCTGCCCGGTGTGAGGCGAGCGCCCACAGGCCTCATTTGAGCTCTTACGGGAACCACCACCCAGGGCAACGCAACGGCGCAGGGCCGCAGCCGCATCTTACCAGTAGGACATATTGTTGAAGTGCTCTGTGAACTGGGTCAGGTTGGGGCTCTTCTCCTCATTCTGTTCTTTGGCCCAAAGTAAAACCTCTGGAATCTAGGAAAGGAAACAGCAGTGCTGGAGCCCCCAGTGTGGCTGGCACCTGGGATCTGGGCCCGGACGTCTGCTCAGCCAGAGCCAGCCAGCAGCAGTGCCCAGGGCACGGACGGGCATCTCCCTGCCGGCCAACCCACGGTACCTCGATCTTATAGAAGAGCTCGGCGTCCAGTAGTGTCAACTGCTCGGCGATTTCATGGCTGTGGAAGTCATGCAAGGTCCCTGGCCTGCAGGAAGAGAGGCGCAGGGACTTTTACAAGGCTGGGTGAGAACACAGATGGCCCGCATGACCCAGCATCCACCTCATCGGTGCTGGGAGATAGACCCGAGCTGAGCAGAGCCGGGCATGGTCCATGTGCTGTTAGCTCCAGTGTCCGCTGCCCCTCCCGGTAACAAGTGGTGTCTTAGGCACGCCCCCCACGGACCCCCTGAGGGCCAGCCACAGGGCACAGGGCTGGCCCTGCCACCCTCGAGTGTCCCGGGGCCTGCAGACACAGGATGTGAGGCTGGGTAAGCAGGGGCAAGTGCTGTGGAAAGGTGCTCCTCACCTGGCTGCCACGCCCCTGGCTGCCAGGGGCTGGTCGGAGTGGGCGCACCTGAGCAGCTTCTTCTGGTCCACCTTGTCCAGAATGTTCTTGCGCAGCACTCGGGCCAGGCTGAGCTCCCCACTGCTCACCAGGCGGAAGACCAACTCCATGAGCAGCTTCAGGATCTCCTCCGTCAGCTCCACCAGGCTAGAAGAGGGCACGGGGTGAGGGGCAGGCCGCCGGAGGCCCCCGCTCCCCCGGGATGCAACCCGCACAGCAGCGCTGGAGCTGGGGCCGGGAAGGGGAAGGGAGCGGCCTTGCGGGCAGCAGGGCCCTGCATGGGGACTGGCCAGGCAGGGGGTGATGCCAAGAGGGCCACCTGGCTCCTAGGAGGGCACTGTCACCTCCCCGCCGCGTGCTCCGTGTGGACAATGACTGCCCCGCGCCAGATGGGCAGAGGCAGGGCTGGAGCGCAGCTCTGTGGGCCCTGGCTGCGTGGCAGGCTGTGGCGTGCTCACACATACACACGGCCGCCTCCCCACACTGCCCCCATCGCTGCTACAGGCTGGACCACCATGGCCTGGCCCTAAGACGCTGGACGGAGGGACAATCCAGGGCAGGGCCACCCTGTCCTACAGGGGCGGGCTATGCAAGGCAGGGATGAGCCGTGCGGAGCGGTGGGGTGGGCAGCGCTCTGCACTGCGGGAGGGGGGGGGGAACGTGGTGAGCCACTCTCCCGGCAGGGCCAGCACCCCTGAGGCGGCCACCATGCCGCTGAGATGCCCGCAGCCCGGCCTCCGCCCTGGCGCTCACCAGAGCTCATCCACCACCCGCACCAGCACGAAGAACGTGTTCTTGCTGACGCGCTTCTTGAACGTGTCCGCGAAAGGGGAGAACTTCTCGTAGGTGGAGCTGGGGTTAAGGAAGCGGCGGGCACAGAGCTGGGCAGTGCTGGCTTCCTGCGAGGGCTCTCTGAGCCCTTTCCCCAAGCCCGAGTGCCATGGGCGCCTGGGAACCGGCAGGGCTGTCAGATGTGGGAGTCTGGAGGGAGCCCAGACTACAAACCACTGCTGCCCCACAGACAGGGGTAGTGGAGGTGGGGAAGGGGAGGGAGCCCGGGGGGCCAGGGGAGGTGGAGGCGGGAGCAGGGCTGCCTAGCAGGTGGCAGTCACGGCTGTGCAGCTGAGGTCTTTGGGAGCAGCAGCTCCAAGGACAGGCCAGCTTCAGCTTGAGGGGTCGGAGGCAGCTCCAGGGTCCGCCACCACCGCTACAATGACGTTCCCCAAGGACGGGGCAGGGCACAGCTGGAGGAGCTGACCCCAGCTGTGGACCGCAGCCCAAACCCACAGGTCAGCCCCGCCCTGAAGCCACAGTCTCACTTCCCTCACGCCCCACCCCTTAGTGCCCACCACCCGGAAGCCTGTGCTCAGCCTCGGTGGAGAATCTTTGCAGCACCAACCCCACAGGGATGCTTTGTGCTGCCTGCCGGCTTCCTCCCTCCCTCGTGGGTGTGTTCCATGTTTTCAGTCTTACCCAGAATCACACAGACACCCCACCTCCCGCCTGCATTCAGCCACTCTGTTCCAGACTCCTGGCCATGCCCCTGGGTCCCTCATGGGGAGCCAGGCCTCGGGCACCGGCCTCGGCCGGTGGGAACTGCCCAGGAAGGATATCGATATTGCAGCTTCTTGATGAGCTCCTCGGGGCTGATGAAGGTGCGGTAGGTGGTCAGGAAGGCTTCGCAGTACAGCACCAGATCTGTGGGGAGCAATGAGCCACTGAGGAGGTTGTGGGGTACAGGGCCAAGTCCTTGTGTGAGTCAGGCCAGTGAGGGCCGCGGGCCGCCGCACTCGGCCCCTCTCAAGGCAGGGTGGAGCACAGGGCTGGGACGCTGCGGAGGGGCCTCAGGTGCAGGGCAGCCTCTGTGGGTTACAGGACACAGCCCCCGTGCCCACTGCGCTCTGGGCCTTGTCATGTTAAATCAGCATCCAGATCCCTGCGTGTCCTGGCTCGCAGGACCCCACCCATGAAGGGAGGGTAATGAATTACTTCCAACTCCTTACAAGGGTCTTTTTCCTTTGTACTGGAGATTGAACCCAGGCCCACCCATTGGAACCATGCTTTTTGATTTCGAGGTAAGGTCTTGCTCACTTTGCTGGCTTGGCCTCAAACCCTTCATCCTTCTATCTGCCTCCCAAGGAAGTGACAAAGCACCGTAGTTCCTGAGGAAGGGGCAGGATCTGAGCTGGGGTCTAAGACCACACACACCAAATCTCACTCTCATCCCTGCAGCTTCTGTAAGTGCAACCCAGGCAAGGTGCATGCAAGGCACTGCCGGGCACAGCTGACACCCAGGCCTCTCAGGCCTCCTCCTCGCTGGGGCCCTTGACACAGCACCTCGCCCCGTCCGGTGCGGCCCACGGCTTCTGCTTCAGGCACAAGGCTCCCAGTACAAACAACTCTGGGTTCTTAGGGTCCCCAATCCTCCCACTGACATAATGACACTAAAGCTCAGGCTGAGCACTCTCAGGAGATCCACAGGGCACAGGCCAGCGGGCTCGCAGGCTCCCCGCCCCGTGCTGCCTCTGGCCTGTCCACAGCAGCGGACAGCTGGCAGGATGGGGGAGTGAACCTTACGGAGGGCCAGGATGTAAGCCAGCTCCCATTCCAGCCCTTTGCTTTCTGACAGGAATGAAATGAAAGGGCTGTACTGGGAGAGGAGGAGCTCTGAGGGAGCCCTGAAGATGACCTGCCAAGGGTGGACCACCCTCAGGATGACAGTGGCATGCCTGCCGGCACCACCGACATCATCAATCCCCCACGGATCCCGCGAGGCCTGGCTGAGGATGCCGGGGTTAGACCATGTGGCCTTTAACTCCAAATCTCTAGCACTGGGCTCTACCTTGCCAGAAGAGATGAGGTAAGATTTGTTGGAGGACAAAATAGTGGAGAGGGGAGAGTTTGTGGGAGCCAGTTCTTCTTCCCTGTCTCCCACAGCTTCTGCCAGGTAAACTCAGAAATTCTGTCACTCTGGGAAAGCCATTGTAGAAACACAAGGACAGAACAGAACTGCATTAGGGTCACAGACTCCAGGGCACACAGCAGGGTGGGGCGCCAGGGTCCTGCACCAGGGGGCCGGGCCCAGTGGGGGGCTGCGGCTGCTCTCCCTCCTCTCACCCAGGCCTGCAGCCCGGACCCACTCAGGGCAACCACGGGAGGGGAGTGACAGCACTGCAGGCCACGGGAAGCCGGTGGCAGGATGTGTCTGCCATACCTTTTCTGTCTGTCTCGGTGGCGTGGACCAGCAAGATGTCCCCCGACCCCCCGCGCACATCGGGCCCGTCGTCACCCTGGAATTAAAACAGCACAAGGAGCATGAGGCAGGGCAGAGGTGACTGTCACCACGCTACGGGGACCCCAAGTTCCCTCCTGTGCTCTTGGCCCAGCAGCAGCAGCAGGCTAGGTGGCCTGCTGACACGGTGACAGCTATCACCAGCGGGGACGCATACACTCAGAGGCCGCACATCAGAAACGTCCAGCGACATCTGATGTCACCTCTCCCGGGTGCCAGTAGGGAACTGAGACTGATTTCCAAACAGGCTTCCACCACCTGGCCTACAGCCAAGGAGCTGCTCGTGGGGCCAGGAATGGGGGCCACGCCAACCGGCACGGGGCCCTGCAGCCCTCAGATCTGGAGGAGACAGAGCAACACCCCCCCTCCTCCTGCCACTGCTCCCCTAGTGCCCCTCCCCCTGCCTTCGCAGGACTTGCGGGTTTCTATCCCAACTCTGGGTCCTGTGGGCATTCTGAGTTTCCTCTAGGGACGACGTCACTCTATCCCTGACCTGGTTTTTGGAAAGAAATTGAGCACTTCTTGGTGCAGAGGAGCTCCGCTGTCCAGGGGTCTCCTGCCAGCCCTGCCTGCTCTCTGACGGTCTGGGGTGTGGGCGTCTTCCCGGCTGAGGCCAGCCAGGGAGCAGGGCAGGGTGGCCTCCGCCCTCTCGTGCAGTCATCAAGCTGCAGTCCAGGTCTGTGGCCAGCTCCCCTGGGGCCAGGCTTCCCACGAGCCCCCCAGCCTCTGGGACCGCACAGGAGGTGGAAGAGGCAGGGCCCTCTAGAGCCAACTTCCTGTCGTGACAGGTCTGAACTCTGCAGAGACAGCACTGCCTGAGTTCTCTTAGCAGGCAGAGGCCAAATGGGCTATTGTACAGGAACCCGCAGAGGTTACGCATGGCTGTGGGCTGGTAGCAGGTCCCTCATAGTACCCCTGTCACAGGGTCTGTGAGAGGCTCTGGTAGGCCCAAGAGCATTTCTACAAGCAACAAGAAGAGGAAGAGCCCTTTTCCTCCTGGAACCCACCCCTTCCTGGAGCCTGAGAGCTGAGCCCCAGGGTCCACACCCGGCCTGGCTCACTCAGGTCTTTCTGTTGGAGACACTCCCAGGTCCTATTCTTTTTGACCCTCACCCCCTATACTTGCTTTGTGGGTCCAGTTTGTAAACTCCAAGTCTGGGGAGTCTTTACCTCTTGCTTGAGTGTCAGCCTGGCCATAATCTCATTGTGGTCAATGAGCGATAGCTCGTCCACTTCCTCTTCTGACTGAGACTCCAGAGCATCCGGGGACTTTGGGGCCCTGGAGGGGGAGCAATTGGCATTGCATCAAACAGGCCCTGAGCACCCCAATACCCAGAGGCCGAGGCAGTGCCAGCCTGGGAGGTGCAGGTCTCACAGGTGCTCCTGGTCAGGTCTGCCCGAGTCACAGAGGCAAGATGGAACTGGATGGGTGTGCAGAGCTGGGGTATGCACCAGATCCCAGCTCTGCTACAGATCAGCTGTGCAGCCTGGGGACCATCCCATCTCCTTGGGGGTCCTCATCAGTAAACGGAAGGGGTTAAAAGCTGGCAGGAAGGAGGTCTCCTAGACTACTTGTGTGAGAACAGGATTCAGTCATTCTGCCACCCTCACCAGGTGCAGCTGGCGTTCAGAGAGCAACTGTAGAGGGTCAGCAGGACAGGACCGAGTTAGCATCACTTAATCCTTTCTGAGGACCACAGATCTGTTGGATCCTTGGCTCAGGAATAAGAAAGAACAGTGATCAAGCCACATGCCAATGGCTCATAGCTGTCTTCCTAGCTACTTTGGTGGCTGTGATCTGGAGGATTGTGATTTGAAGCCAGCCTGGGAGGGAAAGACTCCAAATAAATAGCAAAAAGTAGAATTGAAGACATGGTTCAAGTGGTAGGGTACTACCAGTGTAGAAAGCATGAAGCCTGGGTTCAAACTCTAATACACACACACACACACACACACACACATACACATGCATGCATGCAGGCAACAAGCTATGACCACGCAGTCCTGTCACTTTGTCCTCAGGCACTGTCTAGTAGTAGACTGCTCCTTAGAACAAGTAGTCACAGGCGAGTGCTGGTAAGCACAGAGGGCCCAAGGAGGCTGAGCAGAGAGCCCAGCCTGAGGTCAGGGAGGCCCTTGGGGGATGGAGGTGAGCCAGCAAAGCAGTGCCTCCTCCAGTGCTGTCTCCCATCTTCCCTGGACACTGCTGGTCCGGGTGGCCACGGGGCACATTTTAAGTGCTAAGAACTGAGTAATGTGGCATTCAGGAAGATGCAATGGGCCAGACCAACAACCCCAGGGCTGGAAAACCACTCTGGCCAGGGTCCAGCCTGGGAGTGGCCTGTGTGGAAGGACAGGTGCAGTGACTGGCCATCGGTGTGCTCATCTTTCCGCTCTTACAAAGACAGTGGGAACTTTGCTCAGGTCCAGGGAAGGGGGTACAGAAGCCCAGCCGCTTCTGCGTGGTACACACTGGCCTTTGATGCTAGGATTGGACTGGAAAGTGCACCATTCCTGAATGGTCACTGGGATATCTCAGTCTGGGAGAATAAACAGACGGTGTGGGAGCGCCGAGGGCAGGCGGGAGGCAGGCTGGGCGGGCGGCCTCTGCACAGGCCACACAACTACTCTCTATGTCTTTTTTTTTTTTTGGTGTCAGTCCTGGGGCAAACTTGGCCTGGCACTGTCTCTGTGTTGTTTTTTTTTTACTTAAGGCTAGCACTCTACCACTTGAGCCACAGCTCAATTTCTGGCTTTTGGGATAGCTACCTGGAGATAAAAGTCTCATAGACTTTCCTGCCTAGGCTGGCTTTGAACCATAATCCTCAGATCTCAGCCTCCTGAGGGCAGGTAGGATGACAAGGGTGAGCCACTGATATCTGGCTTCACGTCTTTTTTTTTTTTTTGGTCCGGTCATGGGGCCTGAACTCTGGGCCTGGGCGCTGTCCCTCAGCTCCTCAGCTCAAGGCTAGCGCTTTACCACTTGAGCCACAACGCCACTTCCGGCTTTTTTCTTTTTGCTTATGTGGTGCTGAGGAATCAAACCCAGGGCTTCATGCATGCAAGGCAAGCGCTCTACCACTGAGCCACCTTCCCAGCCCCATTCACGTCTTTTTTTTTGTGCCAGTTTTTCCTGCCCCTTCACCTGCTTGTGCTGAGGCCTGACAATGACAAGTGGGCACGCTCCGCCCTGCTCTGGTCCCGACCCTTGACCTGGGGAGGGGGAAGAGGCTTGAACAGGTAACGGTGACGGCTGACCACTCTGCTCCTTCACACGCACCGAGGTGCACTGGGCCTCCACTGAGCGTCTCGGGGCTGGGTTTGATCTGCCTGGTGCTAACACTGGAAGTTGTGCAAGCAAGTAACAAGACCTCACTCCACTATGGATCTTGCTATAAAAAGTTAATATGGCCAGGTGCTGGTGGCTCACACCAGTAATCCTAGCTACTCAGGAGGCTGAGATCTGAGGATCGAGGTGCAAAGCCAGCCTGGGCAGGGAAGTCCGTGAGACTCATCTCCAATGAACCACTAGAAAACCAGAAGTGGCGCTGTGGCTCAAGTGGTAGAGCGCTTGCCTTAAGCTGAAGAGCTGAGGGACAGCGCCCAGGCCCAGAGTTCAAGCCCCATGACTGACAAAAAAAAAAAAAAGTATGTATGTACAAGGCATTTCCACAAGCCCGGGGAACTGGAGCATGATCTGCCTACCAGATGTCAAGAGAATTTACTATTAACTATCCTAGGTGTGCTAAACAGGTAACCAGGAGTCCTAGTTGCCAAGAAAAGACCAGGGTCCTACCAGTAACTCACTTTCAGCACAGTACACACACATATAGAAGTGTTCCCCAGTAACCAGTGGTTGGTGGCAGGGTTGGGGTGCTTCTACCCTCCCTGTGGTACTTCAAGTGGGAGACTAAGACCAGGAAGTTTGGCCTAGGGTTTGAGAAAGAAAAGGTGGGCTCTTGCGGGCGATTTGGATGGTGGGCAGTGCAGGTGAACTCGGGAAGGGCTAGAAGGCTGGGTAGGGCCTCTGAAGTGTGGGATACTAGTGATCGCTCCATTTTCCTCAGTTTCATTATTTAAGAATCAGAAGAAAAACTGCCAATATGAAGCAGAAAGGTAGACCCAACAGGCAGGCTAGCTGCGGGCAGCTTGCCCGGAGGGATAATGCCATGTGCTCCCCGGGGGCTGGGTCCCGGTTCCTGCCTACCTCTCCCCGCCATCTCTGCTGTCCTTCCCAGGCGTGCTGGCCGTCGAGGGATCTCTGGGATGTCCATCTTTCCCAGCAGGGGTCTCCTGTAAGGAGGACAGGTGTTAGTGTTGGACTGGTGGCCCACAGCAGGCGCTGCCCTCCTGACTCCTGCCGGCAGGTAGCTGTGGCCTGCAGAGGGCTGCCCACTGAGCCGTCTCAGGCAGGGACATGCGGCCACTTGTGTGGTCACTAAGGGAAACAAGCCCTGTGGAGAACGGCATCCTGACTTGGAGCAAGCCGAGGTGACACGGTGGCAGGCTGGACGCAGCCCCCTTACCACCTCCGGAACATTGCCCCAGCCCCCCACTCGGAGCTCAGTGGGTGCTAGGCTGACCAGAGGTTCCGAACACCTGTCTTCTAATAACACCCTAATAACGAGCTACCACCACCATCACCCCCATGTGGACCAAAGCTGGGGATGAAGGGCCTGCTGACTGAGCGCACATAGCTGTGCGTGGCAGAGTCTGGAGCCAAACCTTCACGGCTGTGCCCTGCTGTTTTGCTCTCTAGTTCTAGTCTCGGGGCTAGAATGCTCCAGCAGCGACAGTCCCCAAAGGCCTGATGCAAAGACCCAGGGGTGAGGTGCCCTCCCCCCTGCCCTGCAGACTCAGGGACCCCCCAGCACCTCTGGGGACCACCCTGGCTGGGAGAATGGGGAGTACCACCAGGCAGAGCACTCGAGGCACAGGGAAGCCACCATCAGTTAGGTGGTGTCTGTGCATACACCTCTAGAGAGGACTGGGAGCAGAAACTAGCTTAGCTTCCAGGTAGGGTCACCACCCACTGTGGGGAGGAAAACTCAGTGCGGTGCATCATGCTGAGGCCTGCAGGGACCTGCCGTGGTGAGGCCGCCTAGACCCTGGGAGCTGCAGCACGACCATCCTAAGGGCGCCCGGTGCTCTTCAGCACTGCGCATGCCTTCAGCAGACCCATCTCGGGGCCTCTGGTCCCCGGAGCAGCGTATCCACTAGGGCTCAGGGTCACAGAGGACAGCCTCTTGGCTGGCCCCTGTTCTGCTGAAGCCAAACATGGAAGAAAAATAAATCTGCTCCGAAGAACCCCAGCCCTCAGATGTGAGGTGCTGGGGCGCAGCCCTGACCGCGGGTGAGGACAGTGGGGATTCTGCTCTCCCAGGAGGGAGATGCCCACCAGGGCCCACCGATGCCCACAGGGCCCCTGCAGGCTCGCCAGCCTCCTGGGAGCAGCTGGGAGGAGGAGGAGGCGCATGCTGGGGGTGGTGAGGCGGGGGTGAGGGGTGGCCTCTGGGCTGGGAGAGGGAGCTTGCAAAGAAACCACAGACAGCAGCTGGACCTGGAGATTTCTAGAAAATCACCACACCCACGGAAGCAGGAGCGAGGGCAGAGCTCTCCCTAGAAGTCACGTCCTCTCCCACGGGCCGTGCGGGCTTGCGCAGGCCTGTGGGGCTGAGCCAGCCGAAGCAGGAGCAAGGGAAGCGCCTGGGAGCAGGGCCCAGCCCGGCCGGCCGGGCCCCATGCACAAGGCGGCCACCGAGGTTACTTACTCCTCGAGGAGGACCCCGCTCCTCGCTGCTCTGGCCAGAGGAACACAGACTGACATAGTCCCCCTCACCAGCTTCCGCACTGGCGTTTGCGCTCTGGGGGAGACAGGGGAGAGGAAAGACAATGCGCTGGGCCCTCTAACCAGCCCTGGGAGCTGGGGGGAGAGGGGGGCACAGCTGGCAGGCTTGGCCAGGGCCAGGGTGCTCTTCTCAGAGAAAGAGAGGGTGTGAAAGCGGCGCTCGCAATCCCGGGAGCCTCTTCCCGGGAAATGTTCCCCAGCGCCGAGGGACAAGGCAGGCGCTTCTCCTCTGCAGGTGCCAAGGGCCACTCTGGAAAGTGTCCCACAGAGGCCGCACCTGACTTGTGGGGTTCTTGGTATGGTGGGGGGCATCTGTGACCCTCCCTCCCCCGGCTCCTCTGCTGTGCTCCAGAAGCACCAGGGACGGCCTGCAGCGGGGGCGGGCCCTGTTGGGGGGGGGGGGCATCTCCTCACATCTCTCACAGGGGCCTGGGCTTTCCTCTACCACCAGCCGTCAGAGCTGCTGGTGGCTCCTGCACTCTCCTGTGACAACCTCCTGCCCAACATGGCCACTGGGTCCAATGTGGAAAGCCGGAGTCCTCGTGGGATGGGGATTTTTGTGTAAAGGGGACTGCCCGGGAGCAGAAGGGCGAGGACGGCGCCTGGCCGGCCTCTGCAGCCGTGGATCCAGACGCCGCCGGCTGCGCAGCCGACTCTGGTGACCCTCGACACTGCTTCCTAAGACCGCGCAGGCGCGTGCAGACAAGTGTGTTCTCACCGAGTCAGTGAAAGAGGTTTCGGAAGAAAGGCGGACAGGGCCATGGCAGCTGCTCTCCTGAGAAGACGAGAGAGGCCCGTCCGTGGTGCCGGGAGGCGGCCTGGCTACGGCGGGCTCTGCCGAGTCCGAGCTCGGAGACAGGTGGACAGGTGGGAAGTGTGGAGAGGAGGAGGAGGTAGGCGGAAGGAAAGGTTGGACGGAAGCTTGGTGGTGAGGCACGAAGTCCTGTGAGTAGGACCTAAACACAGATTTGTACTACAGAGAGACGGAGGGAGACGGACACACAAGAGAATGTGGGAAGGAGAAACAGACAGACAAGAGAAAAGGTGGTTAGATTAGCCATGGCTGAGCACCAGTGGCTGCTGCTCACAGGGACCCCAGGAAGTCCCCTTCTGGGAAGGAAGGACTTGCGCCTTTAAAAAGCCGGAAGTGCTAGCGGCTCACGCCTGTAATCCTAGCTACTCAGGAGGCTAAGAGGTAAGAATTGCAGTTCGAAGCCAACCTAGGAAGGAAAGTCTATGAGACCTTTATCTCCAATAAACCATTTAGAATGAAAACAAAACAGAAAATCCCACAAAAACCTGGAAGTGGAACTATGGCTCAAGTGGTAGAGCACTAAACTTGACCAAAAAAGCTCAGGGACAGCACTCAGGCCCTGAGTTCGAGCCCCAGGACTGCCCCCCCCCCCAAAAAAAATTCAATATAAAGCCTGAAACAGCCAGGTGCCGGTGGCTCACGCCTGTAATCCTAGCTACTCAGGAGGCTGAGATCTGAGGATCTCCGTTCAAAGCCAGCCTGGGAAGGGAAGACTGTGAGACTGTTATCTTCAATAAACCACACAGAAAACTGGAAGTAGTACTGTGGCTCAAGTGGTTGAGTGCTAGCCTTGAGCAGAAGAGCTCAGGGACAGCGCCCAGGGCCCAGGCCCAGAGTTTAAGCCCCCATGACCGACAAAAAAAAAAAAAAAAAAAAAGCCTGAAACACAGTGCTAAAATGTCAACACTTTCTAATCTCTTTTCTTTGCCTTTGTAAGTGAATGCAGTGAATTATGATACTTCCTGTTGCCCAGAGCCACAAAGCAACACTCCCCCACTTTTCATCATCAAGTCTGAGGCTACACTGAGAGTGCAGGCCTTGGTCGAGTGCACCCCAGGCCGGAGCACTGACACCGGCACAGACTCCTCAAACCTGCAGCCACGTGCTCACCATCACAGGATCCCTAGTCCTCAAGACCTATGCCTGGAAGTCCTGCTAGGCTTCACGGCCCGCCAGACACCACAAATATGTACACTATTCCCAACCCATGGAAATCAGGAAAAAGAGAGAAGACAGGAAGTTTAAAGTAGGAGACCAAAGTCATATTATTGCTTTAAATAGTTTGAGAAGGTAATCGTGTGTGTGTGTGTGTGTGTGTGTGTGTGTGTGTGTGTGTGTGTGTGTGTCATCCAGGGCTGGTACCCTATCACTTGAACCACACCTCCACATCTAGACTTTCCTGCCTGGGCTGACTTCCAACCATGATCATCAGATCTTATCCTCCTGAGTAGCTAGGGTTACAGGTATCTGGTATGGACTTTTAAGCTGAATAAATAGGCTGCAACCCAAGGGACGGACGGCCCTGCCTCTCTGCCCACCTGTGTGGAGGGCGCTGCCCCTGGCTGGCTGTCCTGTCCAGAGACTGGCGCTCTTAGTGCCCTCAGTGCAGCCCTGCCCCTCCCTCTGTGAGCTGTGGCTCTAACAGGTCTGTCTCAGGCCTAGTACTTCTCAGCCAACTCATTAATTCAGAGTTCGCCTGTGGCCGCCAGGCAAGCTAGGGGAACTGCCTCACGTGTCGGCGGTTCTGTCCACTTCCCATGTGGAGAGTCCAGGGGACAGAGGCCCAGGGGGATGGCGCCTGGGGGTTCTTGGGCCTCCCACTGGCAGTGGATGTGAAGGGATGGATGGGGATGCTTTTGGGGACCCTGGGGGAAGAAATGGCTTCGGCTTCTTGCAGGAGCCACATCCTCAACTTGCCAGCCTAACCCACAAATCCAACCAACCACTTGCTGGCAACCTATATGCAGTTCACCTGAGCCACTGATTCTGCCTGGCGCCCGGCACTGCTCTGACATGGGTCCTCATGGCTGTCCCCCTTCCCCCTGCCGCCGTGAGCACCTTCACAGGCACCTGGGCGTGCCCAGCGGCCCCCGAGCTCCAGGCTCCCATGCACACAGCTGTCTTTCTGGAATCACAAGTGTGCCCACTCGGGAAGTAGGCCTAACCAGCCATGAGGCCTGGTTACTAGGCTTTGGGTCATGCCTGCCCGGGAGCCTCCTTGGGAGAAGCTACAGTGAGTGGCTGAGAATACTGTCTCAAGTCACCTAGACACAGGCTCCATCCTTGTCACCTTCCCACTGTGGAACCAGGTAAGTGCTGGAGCCTCAGACTTCATCTTTAAAGTGAGGATGAAGCTGGGTGCCAGTGGCTCACGCCTGTCATCCTAGCTACTCAGGAGGCTGAGATCTGAGGATCGTGGTTCAAAGCCAGGCTGGGCAAGGAAAGTCGGACAGACTCTCATCTCTAATTAACACCAGAAAACCGGAAGTAGTGCTGTAGCTCAAGTGGTAGAGTGCTCGCCATGAGCTGGAGAGCTCAGGGACTGCTAGCACCCAGGCTTAGAGTTCAAGTCCCGTGACCGACCAAAAAAAAAAAAAATTGATGACATGGATACACCTCTGAGAGGGCTCC